CATAACAGTAGCAACATTACAGTTACGAAGTAGCAACAAAAATAATTTTATGGTTGGGTCACAACATGTGAAACTGTATTTAAAGGGCCAGAAGGTTGAGAACCACTGGTCTAATGCCTAGTTGGTAAATGACAGAGCCAGATTTCCAGCCAGATCTGTCTGATTCCAAGGCCCGTGCTTTTTGCCACTAAGCTGCAGCCTTTCCTACCTTAAGAGTCCTTAAGACTAGGGAGTCTCACAGGAGTTTTGAGTTGAGGGCCCTAGAGACCTTTTGATCTGAGATACAAAAATGGTCTAGTCTTGGGAATACAGTACAAGGGGCTTTATCTGTTTTCTCTTCAGGGTGCTGGCTGGTGGCTGGTGGAGTGGGGATTCCTCCTCAAGGGGGCTCTTTCCATGCATGTTGTCCATGGTCCCTAAGAGTTCTGGGTTTCTGCAGGTGCCTTATGCCATCTGGAACTGAAAAACTTTGCTGAGGCTATGAACTGGTGTGATGAGGGGCTGCAGATAGATGCCAAAGAGAAGAAGCTTCTGGAAATGAGGATTAAAGCAGACAAACTAAAGGTTAGTGGCAAAATCAGTAGCCACTTGGCATTTAATTAACATCAATAACTTAAACTTGCATTCCCCAGATTGTGTCTTTTTGGTCATTGTAAACTTTTTCTTCTTTAAAAACAAAAATCAAGAACCAAAAAGTTCTGACCAAGACGTGTGAACCCTCATCAGGCAGGTCCACCTTTTGGACCAGCATACAGAGACCCAACAACCTTCCTGGATGACAAACCACAAGAAGTGTTGACCCAAGGTCTGTCTTTAGCTGCCACAGAAACAGAAACAAGGATGGAAAGAATGTCAACATGTGCTGACTCTACAAATGACAAGAGTAAAAAGGAAGAAACAGAGCCTCCTGGAAGCGAGTCAAGGGAAGAGACCAGAGATATATTAACTGATATAAAGGAAGTTAGAGATCAGCTACTGGAGAGAATTGATTCTGTCCTAGGTGCAATTGATAGGTTGGCCAAGTTAAAGGAGGCTAAGTTTAAATCACTAGAGACAAAAGTAGGTAAGCTATAGACTGATGTGTCTTTTATGTATTCCAGAGCAAGGCAAGGTACTCCTCTAACTGGGAGGTGGTATCCAAGTCTTCCAGGTGTAACCAACCCTCTGCTTGCTGTCACCATTCCTTTTGCTCCTCCCTCACATGCGCAAAGCAAGCCTCTTAACAAATGGGATGATTGGTAATTGTTCAACAAACAACAAATTTAAATGCCTAATAAGACGCTATAATATCTTTACTTCAACTGGACAGTATCCTGCCATGAGATTACATCACCGCTACATGCTGTGTACAGTACCACTATTATGAAACAATCAATTAAATAAATACATAAATAAGTAAAATAAGAATATGTTGTAAAAGGAAGAACGAAACCAAGAGAAGAAAGGAGGCAGTTTCAAAAAAGACCGAAGAAAAAAATCAGAAATTGCTGGAGGAGGAAGAAAAAGACATGCTCTTTCTCTTTGTTGTCTGGAACTTTAAGCTCTACATGATACCATTGGTTTTGTTGTTACTGTTGACGTGGAACTACTTGATAATATCAGGGAAAGATAACAGGCAATGTGGTATAGTAGTGGAGGACATGCTAGAGGATGAGGAAGAAGATGACAAGGATAAGAGACTAGATAAGCAAAGTGGTATATTCATACCATAGAATATTACTTGGCAATAAAAAGGAACAAGCATTCCACTGGTGGGATGGGAGGGAGATTGACTGCAAAGGGGCATGAAGATACTTTCTAGAGCAGCGGTTCTCAACCTGTGGGTCGTGACCCCTTTGGGGGTCGAATGACCCTTTCACAGGGATCGCCTAAGACCACCAGAAAACACATATATAATTACATATTGTTTTTGTGATTAATCACTATGCTTTAATTATGTTCAATTTGTAACAATGAAATTGGGGGTCACCACAACATGAGGAACTGTATTAAAGGAAGGTCGAGAACCACTGAAGGATTGGAGTATTGAGTACTCGGTATAGATTTGTCAAAACTTACTAAACTATACACATAAAATTTGTAAATTACACCTCAACAAAGTTGATTTAAAAAGAGGGAGCAGCAAGCTCCATAGTTCAGGGCTCCTCTGCTCTGACCTGGTGGTTATTCCACTTTATGTGGGCTGCTGAGACCCCAAATTTCAGGTGAGACAGCCATATCCACCCACTTGCATCCTGTAAATCAGAACAAAACATGAGAGAGTCCAAGTCATCCTTAATCATCCATCTTAATCATTTTCTAATGTGGACCAGACACTGGTCAAATGTAACTCAACTAGGAAGACAGTATTAGACATAGTTCTAGAGGTGTCCATGGGTGGGGCACTTTTGATAGTGTAATCAAACTTGCTAACAGCAGAAAGGATTTTTGCAGCTCTCTTGGCAGACTCGATTGGAGAAGGAATGACCAAGAATTATCAGCCACTGTCTCCCTGAAAGGGTAGGCTTTGTTCACAAGAAACAAAAAGAACTGTTAGCCTTTGTGAGGCATTTGTGGAGAGGATGAGGAATGGTGCTATATTTTAGAACGGGGCTCAGAAAACTGACCCACTGGTCAAATCCAGGCCTCTCTTGCACATTCAGTGAACTAAGAATGTTTTTCACATTTTTAAAGTGTTAAAAGTGTTATAAATAACAGCAAAACCAGATAATATGTGACATAAACCATACAAGGTCTGCAAAGCCGAAAATATTTACTCTCTGGCCCTTTACAGAAGGAGTTTGCTGATCCTTCTTAATACACAGTCTTGAGGGTAAAAGCAGTGGTCAGCTGGTTTGGGGTAGATTAGCCAGAAAAGGAAATCTAAATTATATTTCTGCCAGATTAAGTAGACTAGTGGCACTTTTCTGTCATCCTATATAATAAAAGCCTAATATGCTAAGTGTCCGGTCAAGCGGTCGGCTGTTCAACCAATCAAAGCGTAATATGGTAATTATATGCTAAGACTGCTCAACTGCTTGCTATGATGTGCACTGATGACCAGGGGTCAGACAGTCAACCCGTCAACCAGTCACTATGATGTGCACTGACTACTAGGGGGCAGATGCTCTGACCGCTAAGTTAGCTTGCTGCTGGGGTCCGGCTGATTGGGACTGGGTGAGACGGGCTGGACATGCCTTGGAGCCCTCCCACGGTCCCTCTTTGGCTGGCCAACCTCCCGCGTCTCTCTCCAGCCCCAATTATGCACTAGTGGGGTCCCTCGGCCTGGCCTGTGTCCTCTCAATCCAGGACCCCTCGGGGGTTGTTGGAGAGCTGGTTTCGGCTCAATCCCACAGGCCAGGACAAGGGAACCCACTCGTGCACGAATTCGTGCACCAGGCCTCTAGTGGATTATAATTGTGCAAAAGGCAGAGAGCCTCTGGTAAGTTTTGCCCTGGGTTTTCCCAGCCATACCAATGAAGCTGAAATGCCCCATAGTGGTATCCATTTGATGTCAATCTCTCTACCGAGAATGCTTTCTCCTTCATCTGGTGGAATGTTCCTCTTCTGTCTAAACCCGCCTCCTCAAAGGGGCAGAGTTGGTTACTCCCTCTTCTGTGGTTCATAGCACTTGGTTCACACCACCAGGGTAACACATCACAGGCCTTTTACTTGTCTGTCCACCCCCCACACTCCCCTGTAGACTGAATCTTTGGGTACAGGAACTATAAATTTTTAAATGTTTATTGAACATCCATCTTAATCATTCTCTAATGTGCACCACTGGTATCCCTTGACATAGGAGCCTGTATTGGATAGAGAACAGAGGTAGTGATTTTTAGGAGCAGACTGGGATAACATGAGGACGCAAGTTCCTTAGAGCTGATGCATCTGAATTTATTTTCAGCGGACTGAACAGAGGGATATAAGGAAAGCAAAGCTGAAAGAGCAGAAGGAGCAGAATCAGAATGAGGCTTTACTCCAGGCCATCAAGGTAAGCTCTCAAACCTTAGGCCCTTATGGTCTTGCTAAACCCAAGAATCCTGAGGTCTCTTAGGAACCTTTCTTGGGATGAATTTGTTCATTTTCTTCCTGCTTTGATAAAGTTTCGTGATGAAGGGGCTCTGGAGTCAGACTCCCTGAGTTCAGTCAGCTCTCCCACTTGTGTGCATATGTTGGTCTCAGGTAACCTATACTGAATAGTTGCTATGGGTTAAGCATCATTTAATTTTCACAGTAGCCTTCTGAGGTAGGATTTCTTGCTCCTGTTTTGCTAGCTGATGGCATAGTCTCAGAGAGGTGAAGAAACCTCACATGGCCAATGTGTCAGAGCTGGTCCTTGCTCTTAGCCACTGTGTTCCACTGCATCCTGAAAGTCTGAATTTTAGGATGATTTTCCTCTAACTATGGCAACAACAGCAATAAGTTCTACCTCCCTTGCCCTCTCTTCACTGTGTTTTAATTGAATGTAGTCTGATCCAAACCCTGCTTTTTACCTGGTGAGCCTTGGCTTGCTTGGTCTTGGTCTTCACAAGGGGACATAAACACCTGCTATGAAAGTGTGGGGTAGGCTCTTAGTTTCATTCTTTGGTGAGTTAAATTGTGCACCCATTTAAGTGACTTCTTGATTTTGAGAACTTCACACTACTAAGATGCACTTCACTAGTCCCTCCTCACAACAAGCAATCTGCTAACATGTATTAACAGGCTAAACAAAATGGAATTCTCCCGATTCGCCATCTGATTCTCATTCATGATGAGGGATTTTTAAAAAATATATTTTTATTGATTTCAGAGAGGAAGGGAGAGGGAGAGAGAGATAGAAACATCAGTGATGAGAGAGAATCATTGATTGGCTGTCTCCTGCACGTCCCCTGGGGATCGAGCCCACAACCCAGGCATGTGCCTTTGACTGGAATCAAACCTGGGACCTTTCAGTTCGCAGGCTGAAGCTTTATCCACTGAGCCAAACCAGCAAGGACCACAATGAGAGATTTGATCATTTTTTAAAATGTAGGATATTGGAATGCCCAGATATTTGTACACAGACCTTACTTTGGTTCTCTCCTTTAGTCTAACACTGCATCTCAGAAACTTCACTGTATAAAAGACAGTATATACACAAAGCCATACATACTATATTTTAACAATAGCTTAGAGTAGGGGTCAGCAAATGCAGCCCTGCCTGTTTATGGTACCTATGGCTGTTTTCACACTACAATGCCAGAGTTGATTAGTTAACTTCAACAGAGACCATTTGACCCACAAAGCCTAAAGTATTTCTTATCTGACCCTTTAAGGGAAAGTTTGCCAACCTCTGATTTAGGAGATGACATCAAAGGCAATTTGAATCGCATGTAATTTTCCTCTCGTTTGTAGCCTTAGGAATCTCTACACACACATAAGAGGTGACTCCATTATTCAGACCTTAGATTTATCCTTATTTCCATAAGACAGTCAAGATTAAGTCAATGTGCATTATTTTTAGTATTCCATGTCCTAGGCTAAACTGAAGCACATGCCACACTCTTCGCTCTTGATCTTTTTGTGCACATGTTCCTTGGGGTGGAATGCCCTTCCACCTTCCCCCATTTCTACTTCTCTGCCTTTCAAAGTCTTTGTTGAAGGCCTAGCTTCCCCCAGTCACCTCCAGCCCCCAGACTGAATTAATTATTCATGGGCGGCAGTTCCAAAGCTTTACTTCTCATTGTATATTGTACTTATTTCTATAGCTAGCTCCCCACTAGACCACGAGCTGGTCTTGAGGGCAGGAACCATCTCTAGCTCATCTCTATTTTTGGTAGATGTCCAGGGAAGTTCAGTTAAACAAGTGATGCCAGCTATGTGCTAGGCCTCAGGGATAATGACAGTGAATCAGGAAGCTTGCAGTGTTATGGTTTCCCTTTTTGTGAAATGGGTTTGCATCCTTCCACACAGTAAGGTTTCTGTCTTTACCCCAGGCTAGGAACATCAGGCTAGTCTCTGAAGCTACCAGTGAGGATGAAGATTCTGCCTCAGAAGGTCTAAGTACACTCCTGGATGGGCTCAGCTTTGAGAACCCCTATGGAGCCAGGCTGAGTGTAGATGACCAGGGCAGACTGAGCTGGCCTGTGCTCTTTCTGTACCCGGAGTATGCCCAATCGGACTTCATCTCTGCTTTTCATGAGGACTCCAGGTACTTACTTGCCCAGGAACCCTGAGCTCTTTCTTGCATGATCTTTTCCTGTAATCTCTGCAGGAGGGACAGATGGATTTTTGGTTGAAGGAAGAGAATAGTGTAGAGGGTTTCAGTCTGTCTGGTTTGGCATAATCTCAGTCCTATAGCTGATTTCTCCCTTGCTAACTAGCTCTGCAATGATAGACAGTCTCACCACTGTACTGATGGGGCTAGTAAATATAACACTGCAATACAGTGTTTGTACATATCTGGTGAGATATGAAATCATTGTAGGTAGTAAATGCATAGTAATTTAAATGTGTATTTATTAGAAAAAGTATAACTAGCAGTTTTAACATGTGATTTCCTAAGATTAATGCTTAGAATGTAGCTAAGTGTGAGGAATGTTGTTAAGCTTGAGTCAGGCTTAAATGTAAAGAAAATTACTTTAAATTAAAGAAAATTACTATGTCATAATAGGACAAGTGATACACATACACGTTTTGGGCACTGTTGTCAAAATGGCTTACATCTGCATTTCGTGTTTCATACATTCTTGATATCTCTGATTTGGTGTCTGGGGACTGTGATGTGGGAAAGTAGATCATGAGTTATTGATACCCAGAAAGTGCATGTTATATCCTTAGGTTTATTGATCATCTAATGGTGATGTTTGGTGAAACACCCTCCTGGGACTTAGAGCAAAAATACTGCCCTGATAATTTAGAGGTAAGAGAAATTTTATTTTGTTCCTTTATGGCAGCGGTCACCAACCTTTCGGACCTCACGGACCACCATTTGGCGACCGCTGCTCTATGGGATGTTTTGAGGGGGGAGGGGGTTCATTGCCCCTTTTTTTTAAAAAAAAAAAAAGATATTGTTGAAAGTATTACATATGTCCCCTTTTTACATTCATTGCTTTTTAAAAAAATAATAAAATATACAGAACCTAAACTTTATCATTTTATATTCCACTAGTAGCCCTGCGCACAAATCCGTGCACCATAGCTCGCTGCCGCCCTCCAGTAGCTGCCCCCCTCCCCATAGCTTGCTGCCCTGCCCTCTCCTTTCGCTCTCTGCCGCCCACTTGTAGCTTCCCGCTCCACCCTCCTGCTGATCGTGATCCAGTCGTTATATAGTCGGTCATTACGCTTCGCGGCGTAATGACCATTTGCATATTACATCTTTATCATATAGGATACTAGAGGCCTGGTGCACGAAAATTCATACACGGAGTGGGGGAGTCCCTCAGCCCGGCCTGCCAGCTTTCACAGTCTGGGAGCCCTCAGGGGATGTCCTACTGACAGCTTAAGGCCATTCCCGCAGTCTGGCCTCCCTCTGGCGGGGGGGCAACCAGGCTGATCAGGGGGAGGCGCCATCTCCATCACCCTGCTGCTGTGCTGCTGCCACTGCCAGCCACCTGCCCTCGGCCCTCGCAGCCACCATGGCCTTGTCAGGAAGAACATCCAAAAGACATCCCGTCTATCCAGTCTAATTTGCATATTACCCTTTTAGGTGCCATCCCCATCACCCTGCTGCTGCTGCTGCCGCCACTGCCGGCCACCTGCCCTCGGCCCTCGCAGCCACCATGGCTTTGTCAGGAAGAACATCCAAAAGACGTCCCGTCTATCCAGTCTAATTTGCATATTACCCTTTTATTAGTATAGATACTTATTAAATTATATATATGTAACTATTATTATTCATTATAGTTAAGTAGCATTAAGCACATTCACATTATTATGCAACCATCACCACTATCCATCTCTATTTTCATCATCCCAAACTGAAACTACCCATCCTATATAATAAAACCCTAATATGCAAATGACTGAATGGCGGAACGACCGATCGCTATGATGCGCACTGACCACTAGGGGGCAGATGCTCAATGCAGGAGCTGCCCCCTGGTGGTCAGTGAGATCCCACGGGGGGAACACTGCTCAGCCAGAAGCTGGGCTCATGGCTGGTGAGCGCAGCAGCAGTGGTGGGAGCCTCTCCTGCCTCGGTGGCAGCGCTAAGGACCCCTCGGGGGATGTCCGCCTGCCACGGGAAGTGGGCCTAACCCGGCAGGTGGACATCCCCCAAGGGGTCCTGGACTGAAGGAGGGTGCAGGCCGGGCTGAGGGACCCCCTCCCCCAGTGCACGAATGTCGTGCACCAGGCCTCTAGTTAAACAATAACTGCCTATTTTCCCTTCCCCTAGAAACCACCATTTTACTTTGTCTCTATTAAACTTGACTACTTTAGGTACCGCATATGAGTGGAATCCTACTATATTGACTGTGGGACTGGCTTATTTTTCTTAGCATAATGTTTTCAAGGTTCATCCATGTTATAGCATGTGTCAGAATTTCCTTTTTAAGGCTGAATAATATCCCATTGTTGGAATTAAAAAATAATCACAAATTCTCTATTAAACTTGACTACTTTAGGTACCTCATATGAGTGGAATCCTACTATATTGACTGTTGGACTGGCTTATTTTTCTTAGCATAATGTTTTCAAGGTTCATCCATGTTATAGCATGTGTCAGAATTTCCTTTAATATCCCATTGTTGGAATTAAAAAATAATCACAAATTACAGTATAAAGAGTCTGTCTTCTAACCATTTCAGAAAGATTCCAGCTGATCCCCCATCACTCCTGAATACTTCAGTGTCTATTTGCCACAAACAAGGACATTTTCCTTCATAATCCCAATCAACCATCAAAATCAGGAAATTAACTTTGATACATTGAATTGTTAGGGAAGGGAAGGCTCATAGGCCTGGGCTTGAGTCTTGGCTGCTCTGTTTATTGTCTGGGTTTCATTGGTGAGTTATTTCCCTTCTCTGATCCTGGTTCTATCTTTGGCAAATGGAGCCGATAATACTGTTCTTAGTATCATTGTGCAGGACTGAGTGCTTTATATTCCACAGCTCTGTGCAGGAGGCATTCAGCTAATAACAATCATCATCTCTTTAACTGTTCCCTAGACTGGGCCTGAACATGCCTGGTGCTGCTGCAGCCATTTGTATCTCACTCCCACTCCTCCGTTAATCTTGCAGGTCTACTTTGAAGATGAGGACAGGGCAGAACTGTACCGGGTGCCTCCTAAGAGCACCTTGCTGCAGGTGCTACAGCACCCCAGGTGAGTCTCTTCATGAGCCTGAGTACAACAGGGAAGATGCTCACCCACCATTCCAGGGATCCAGCCATGTTCTCATTCCACTGTTAATTGCCTCGTACTTCCTACCTTCTGCCCTGGACATAAAACAGTGAGATGGCAACCATGGAGACTGGCCCAGCCATTTGCCAAACAGGTGGCAGTGTGATGACTGAGCTCATTGCACTGCAGCCATGCGCCCTCAGACTGGGAGATGTGAGTGGGACTGGTCTGAGGAGGAAAAAGCTGCCTGTCTTTTGTATCTGAAGATAGCTGGGATGGCCCTACTGCTCCCAATTGTGCCTTGTCCCCTGATTTTGTTATAAGGAAAGAGCATTGGCTCTTGAAGCCAGACACCATTGTTTCATGGCTGTGTGATTGTAAGCACACGCTGCCTCTCTGGGGCTAGTTCCTCACCTCTAGAATGGGAATAATAACTCTTGCCTACATACGTACCAGGTATTTGAGAGCTGATGAGAGAGTAGGAGACAAAGTGCTTTTGTAAACTGTAAAGGACGGTCTTGCTCTAAGAGAGCACCTTCCTTAGTAGCAGTGGCAGCCAATTGGATTTGGCAGTTGTCACTTTCTTCTGCTTTGGGATGTACCTAGACTATAAAGAGTGCCCTCGGTAGATGTGTAAGTTGATTTTGGGGCTACTTTCCCTGAGCTTTGAGCAAATGCTCTTGCATTTAGGTTCAAAGAGCCTGATGTGTTAGGGGAATGAAGGTGGTTGGGTGTGTGGTGAGAAATGAAGCTGGAGAGCTAGGTGAAGGCCTTGAGTATTCTGCCTAAGGAACATGATCTTTATTCTGATGGTGGTGTATGGAGCCACAGGGTAAAATTTATGCAGTAATATACAATTTTTTTTAAAAATTATATTTTTATTGATTTCAGAGAGGAAGGGAGAGAGAGAAACATTGATGAGAGTCATTGATCAGCTGCCTCCTGCATGCCCCCTATTGGGGATTGGATGCGCAACCCAGGCATGTGGCCTGACTGGGAATTGAACCATGACCTCCTGGTTCATAGGTTGATGCTCACCCACTGAGCCACGCTGGAAAGGCAAGTGATTTACAGATTTTAAGTGTACTAGTCGATGTTCTGAGCTGAAATAGGGGATGGATTTGAGAGAGGTTTAGGAGGCAGATTGGATGGGAATTGCTGATGTGGTGACCGACTCAGTAGGCGTGTCAGCTGCTCTTTATGCTTCTGTTTTGGGTTGACAAGCAGGAGGTGAAGATTTCTTTAAATATGATCAGTGACTTCTCTTGGCAGTATTTTTTCTGGCCCCAAATCTCCTTTCTATTTTATTGACAAATTCTTAGCTGCTTATTTTCTCAATTGTTAGAAAATTACTTAGATTCTTTAAAGGCCCGAGTTCCACTCTCCCCTATCTCCAAAAGAAGGGGGTAGGGGGACCTAAACAGAAAGCAGACTGATTTGTGGAGAAGACCAATTTCATGCTTCTCAGAAAATGTAAATGCTGTTGGAAGTCATTGCTTTGTAAATGACTGGTAGAGACAAGAGGCTACCCAGGACAGGTTTCCGGAAATTTCAGTCCCTGGACTGGAGCCAAGATACAGGCCCCTCTGTCCAAATCCAAGCACATTGGGTAATGCTGACACCCCTCAAGCTGGGAGGCCAAGGCCTTGCCTGTTTCTCCAACCTGCCCCACTCCGTTTGCTTTATGCCCAACAACAGCAAACATTCTCATGACCCACACTGCATGGCTTTACGTCCTCATCGCAGCCCCTTATCCAAATTAAAGTCAAGCTCAGACATGACATTTCCAAGAAACCTTTCCTGATTCCTCTTTCCCATAGAGGGAAACACACCTCGGGCTAAGGCTGCTCCTCACCAGTGCTTCTACAGTTGTCCCTTGTTGTCCTGAATTGATTATTTATCTCCCTCGCTCTTGGTCTTGAGAGCAGGGACAGTGGTTTTTGTTTGTTTTTTAATCTGTTTTCAGCACAATGCCTGGCTTATCCTGGGTATTCACTATTGAATGAATGAAAGCATGTTCTTGTAGTTTTTTATGTCATGTTTAGCCACCGACACTCAATGCTAGAGGACTGGCCCAGAGGTTCTGGCTAGGTTATAAGGGGGTGGAGTCATGCTAATTTGCCAGATTTTTAAACAACCCAACAAATAAATATGCTAACTTACATTTTAATGTTGGCTCACATCCAAAGGTTCACCTTGAATGTTGTTGGGAAAGCCCATGGATGATTAAGACTGCAATTCAATTCACTCCTCTCTTTTGTTGTATTCACTGCAGGTACCTTGTAAAAACCCTGACACCAGCATTTTTGGTCTGTGTGGAATCCTCTCCTTTTTGTAGAAATTATCTCCGGGGGAGAAAGGTGCACCAGGTAAAGTGACTGAGCCAGGCTGCGGAGCCCGGCCACCTGGATCTCCTCCCAGATCCGCCTCTGCCTGGAATACAGCATACTTGAGTCAGCTGGACATACTCCTAGAATCCACCACTTCCTTTCTGTCACCCTGGAGACAGTCCTTCCTCACACTGTGGGTGGGGAAGAGCTGCTGACTTCCCGGAGCTGCAGCCTCTCTGATCAGTGCTGAGCCTCAGCTAGTCTTCATTCTCCTCTGTTGATACAGAACTCTGCTTTGGTCATGACATCCTTAAGGACTCTGAGCTGTGCTAACTACCAGCCTCCCTCTCTGAAGGGACCATCTGTTGCAGTTACCACAGCAACTGACCCAAGGAACTCACTGGGCTGAGTCAGGATCTAGTGACTTGGTTCTGAACCTTTGTGGAGTTCGAGGCTTTGGAGAAGCTACCCCTCAAACTGCATATATACAAACCATGCAGGTAATTTTAAGGCACTAAAGCTGAGCCTGACCTGCAGTTATTTCATGAGCATGGAGGGTTGCTGTGTGTGGATACTGAAGATACCTTGGGGTAAGATGGGGCCAGGAAAGCTGGGTCCTGTTTCTGCATCTGTAAACACCTACATTCTGGCATCCTCCAGAACCCCTAAAAGGTTTGACAGTTTTCCTGATCTTTGCAATATGGAGGGCTGTGATACACTTGGACAGTGGACTCTGCATTCTTCCCCAGTTTTTCACATTTTAGGATTTTGTGCCTTTTAAATTGGAAAACTTTTTGGCATGTTGAGTCACTGTCATAGTTGTACCTAGAGGGCTTTGTATGTCCTTACCTGTAGCCATGTGACTTCTCGCAGTGCCCATCCCTTCCCCCTGAAGAGCCATGGTGTGGAAGGTTCATGTTCTTTTCCCTTTACCGTGAACACATATTTCCCAGATTAGGGCTGTTCCTTCAGCTTGGGTACCAGAATGGTAAGCCATGTGGGGCACAGCTGCAGCAGCTGCGCTACAGCCACCGATTGTAACATGAATGAGGAATAAATGCTTGTGGTAATGGCACTGAGATTTGGGGGTTACTGCGGCAAAGCTAACTAATACATCATTAAACTGAAACCAGCTGCTGTCCTTAAAATGTACTAATGTGAGGTTTTGTGCCGTGTGCTTCCTTGTCTTTGAAGGGCAACTTGGTGTGGATTATTTACAAAGACCACACTGCTTGTGGCCAGGAACTGAAGTTCAGCTTCCATCCTAAGCCGGCTGAGGCCATATTGAGCCATTCTCCCTTGCTTCCCAGCTAGAGACTCCTGCTTAGTTCTCTTTGTAAGAACTCCACACTTTGTGCAAGAGGCCTGACGTTCAGTTAGCAACAACCCATGGAAGCTCATAGAAGCCTTGAGAGATGCTGGCCTAACAGGAGTGGACACCAAAGTGGTATCTGAATGTGGGGAGCCTAAAGGTGCCACCCCCTTCTGCTGGCCCACATGCACTACCCACCTACCTACCATATGCAAAGGGCTAATTGGCCTAACAAGGGCAGCTGCCATTTACCAAGCACGTGTTGTTAGCCAGGCACTGTTGTCTGCATTTTACTGACCGGAAAGAGCTGGGAGTATGAGGATGGTCATACTTGCACAAGGTCACATGGCTATCAAGTGGCCCAAGAAGTCTGACCTGAGTCTCTACTATGGGTCACTATGATATAAGCCATTATTTTATTTTTTTAATATATTTTATTGATTTTTTACAGAGAGGAAGGGAGAGGGATAGAGAGTTAGAAACATTGATGAGAGAGAAGCATCGATCAGCTGCCTCCTGCACATCTCCCACTGGGGATGTGCCTGCAACCCAGGTACATGCCCTTGACCGGAATCGAACCTGGGACCTTTCAGTCCGCAGGCCGACGCTCTATCCATTGAGCCAAACCGGTTTCGGCAAAGCCATTATTTTAAATCAAATAAAGAACCTTGATTTTCTTCAAATGTTCCCTAAATTTGCAATAACATCATAAAAATATTTTCCCATTTTCCATATTATAGAAAACTATCCATAATTATAAAAATATTTTCTAACTTTAAAACAAAGCTTTAAGCCCAGCCACGTGCTCAGTGGTTAAGCACCAACCTACGAACCAGATCACAGTTTGTTCCTGGTCAGGCCACATGCCCGGGTTGCTGGCCAATCCCTGGTAGAGGGTGTGCAGGAGGCAGCTGATCTATGATTCTCACCATTGATGTTTGTATCTCTCCCTTCCTCTCTGAAATAAATAAAAATATATTAAAAAATAAAAAAAATAAGAAAACTTTACATACCCTTGGATGCATAACAACCCATTTGAAAAAGCATTCTGGTGCCGTGGTGTAGAAATGGCAGGCCTGCCACTCAGGTAGTTAAGGAAATGACAATTTCAGTGGATTTCTGCAAAGCTCTTTATGGATATAGCCCAGCAGGTGTCTCTTCCATTAAAACACAGAATATTAATGGAGCCCTTGATTTACATCCTAAGCTTGATTTACATGATGGTTTTGTTATGCATCAACCTTTGTCCCCAAGTATTAATTCTGCTAAATATTTCCCAGCCAGTTGCTTCTAGATCTCCCCAAGGAATGAACAATGATAATACAGCCGGTACTTGTTGTTTTGCCAGCCTTTCCATTTCATCAATTTATGGAAAGGTAACACTGGCAACTTCAGGAAGGAGAAAGGTACACAATTTGAATATTTCAGTCTCTCCTCTAAGGAGAAAAATTCTGCAGGCGCTGCTTAGTTCTGGCTGGTGGCATTCCCCAGGAAGCTTGTAAAGCATCACATCAAGAAAACAAGATCCAGGTCTGAATATAAAGTTAGCAGCAGCACCTGAGCTCCCATTGGGGGTGTTTCCTAAGTCATGTGGTGTGAGGGAAGTGTTTTGTGAGAGCACAGTAAGGGTTAAGCATTATACACTAGTATCCCATTGCGCGATATCGCATGCAGTAGGCCACCCGCTGCCTAGCGGGAACCGCAGTGCGCCACCGGGAGCTGCACTGCTTCCATGGGAGCCGTGCGGCTTCTGTGTGAGGCAGAAGCGAGCCACTGGTGCCCATGGGAGCCAGGAGGGACCTGTGCTGATTCCGCAGGAGGTGGGAGGGAGCCACACTGCACACCGTCTCCTCTCCGGGCCTGCACTCAGCCGCAGGCCGGCCCCCCTGTCCCTGTCCATGTCTGTTCCAGCTCTGGCTGTCTACGCTCTGGGCCTCACCTGAGCATGCAACCTACTCCTGTCCGGTTGTGACCCATTATGGCATCCCGGCCTAATTTGCATATTTCCTCCTTTTATATATATACTAGGGGCCCGGTGCACGAAATTTG